GCTTTGCTAAGCAGATGTCGTGTTATTGTTTTACAAAAGTTAGAAGTTGATAACTTAATGCAAATATTAACAAGGGCTCTGGGAGCATATAAAGCTGTGATAATTGAAAATTCTAAAGATGTTAATTCAAATGCTAAGTATGTGCCAAAACAAAGCAATTGTGTAAATAAATACCTTATAATATTTATAGTCTTCTAGTTGAAAGAGCTTCCATAAAATGGTTGGCAGAAATGTGTGATGGAGATGCACGAATAGCTTTAAACAGTTTACAGCTGGCTGTACAATCTTTAAAAGAAACTAGTGACAAGTCTAAACCTAGTTTGATGACTGTTGAAAACATCAAAGATGGCATAAAGGTACCTAAGGTAATTTTAAATTACTTACAGTAAATACATATATATTTCTCTTTTAGAGGTCTCACATGTTGTATGACAGTAAAGGTGATCAGCACTACGATACAATTTCAGCATTGCACAAATCTATAAGAGCATCAGATGATAACGCTGCTCTTTATTGGTGCACTAGGATGTTAAAGGGAGGCGATGATCCTAGATTTATTGCTCGCAGATTGATGCGTGCTGCAAGCGAAGATATAGGTTTATTAACTCAACTCATTCAAATGTTACCTTGGAAAATAATGTAATTATTTCAGGTTTAGCTGATCCTCATGCATTGTCGCTAGCAGTTGCTGCTGCTCAAGGTGCACAACTTATTGGAATGCCGGAATGTGATGTATTGCTTGCTCAATGTGCTGTTTATCTAGCTAGGGCTCCAAAAAGCCAGGAAGTTTATAGAGCAATGTTGGAGTAAGTAATAATTAAGATGCATTCGTAATACCCATGGTATTAAAATATATATACATATTTATATACTAATATTTTTAGATGTGGCAGCTCTATTGAAAATTGTCGTGGAAATTTACCTCCAGTGCCATTACATTTAAGAAATGCTCCCACAAAACTTATGAAAGAGCTAGGTTTGAATTTTATAATAATTATAGAACTATTTTCAAAAATGTTTTAATATTTTGTGTTGGTTTTTAGGATATGGAAAAGGATATAACATGCGTCATAAGGATGAGTCAAATCTCACATATATGCCTGAAGGAATGGAAAATGTTTCTTATTTTTAAAAAATATTTAATTTCCACAAATTTATTCACTTTTTATATTGTTTTGTTATCAACAATGTGATTGATGTGATATTTTATAATAAAATTGTATTATTATTAAGAGTGTGTTTAAATTTTTGAATTAAATACTAAACAATATTTTTGAATAAAATTATGATCTAAGCAACAGTAAAATTAACAATTGTAACTAAATTAATTTGTACATAGAAGATATTGATTTATGAAAACATATGTGCATTTGTAATAGAGAATATTTATTTATACAGAACTTTCTAGAATGTACAACACAAATTTAAAATTTGCGATAAAGTTATAATAAACTATTTCTGAATTATGAATTTTCAAATTAAGCGGTTTTTATTATTATGGAAATGAACCATTTAGTTTCAACAAATGTTGCCAGATGGTACTTCTGTTATTTGAAAATCTAACCTCAAAATTTAAATGCAATCCACAAGTCTAACAAATAAAACAATTCCTTTGCAGTGTCATAGTATTAATATAAAATTTAAGAAATAATTAGGTTGTAGTCATGGACAAAAATAATCTAATATGTTTACCTGGACAAAGGTTGTGTCTGTGTGACGACAAAACAATTTCAGGAGATGGCACATATGAACGTCAGGGATACATTTATTCCAAATTAGCTGGCATTGTCAATATAACTATAGAAAAAGAGGTGAATATAATAATTGAACCAGATTAACATAGTTTTATTCCATTATTTATCAATTATGTTTGCAGAATCGAACAATAGAAGTGCAATCATTAGTCGGTCAAAGTATTGTGCCTGCACCAGGAGACATTGTCACAGCCAAAGTAATGATTGTAAATCAAAGGGTAGCTCGTTGTAATATAATATGTATCGGTGATACTACATTGTCCAGAAGCTATAGGTATGTACAACTACATTTGCACTCAAATTTTAACACATGCTGCATTGATTCACTTAAATCTTTTACCTAAGAGGGATTTTACGTAAAGAAGACGTCAGAGCTACAGAAAAAGACAGAGTTGACATATATAAATGTGTACGACCCGGGGACATAATTTTAGCTAGAGTTGTATCCTTTACTTTTACAAATACCTTAATTTTTACCTTAACATATATCCTCCTTAATTGTTTTATCAGCTGCCGATTACAGAATTACATTGTTATCAATTGACAACAGCTGAAAATGAGCTAGGTGTTGTTGCATCTATGAGCCCTGCCGGGGTACCTATGGTACCTGTTAGTTGGACAGAAGTTCAGTGTCCGAATACTTTAATTAAACAGCCTAGAAAAGTTGCTAGGATAATACCAGAAAGTTTGGCTGTGACGACAGACTTGAAAAGTTAATTAATAAGAGTTTATATGTTTTTATAATTAAGTTTTGAATAAACTGTATAATTTTGATAGTGTGATTGTTATTTATACACTTATACACTTAAATTATTCATTTAAAATGTTTTGAATTGTTTTGTGTTAACATTTTTTGCTAGAGGTTACAATTTACATCTTGTGAACAATGTAGCATATTTAAGGGTTGTTTGAATTAAAATTTGAGTGCATAATTGAGTTATTGCTAAGATTTTTATACCTAAATGTTAGAACTACACTCATTTTTATTAATTGATTTATAACATTTAAATTATTTGTTGAAAGCAAATAACATGTTTTGAAAGTTTATTGAAAATTGAATAATCTGCATTAAGTTCTAACTCATGAGCCCATATAAATGTGCATTTATTTATTGTATCCGTTGTAACCTTTAAACAATTTGTCTGATGTTAACAAAATATTCAGCAAAATCATTCAACATTTAATAATCTCAAACACTGTCTAACATTATGATGCTCTATAGAAACTCGTTATACTTTAAAATCTCATTAGAAAAGATAATATATATATCACAGCTAAGTAAAATATATAGTTGATATTGTGTCTCTTATAACTTTTGAAACGTTTCTTTAATCTAAATGAAATATTTGGCAAATTTGTTCAAAATTTAATAATCTTTAATACTGTTTAATATTATAATGCCCTAGAACAACTTGGTATACTTTAAAACAGCATTTGATAATGGACAATTTATACGAGAGTGTGTGAATGTGCATTTATTTATTGTATCCATTGTAACTTTTAAACAATTTGTCTGATGTTAACAAAATATTCGGGAATATATTCAAAATTTAATGATCTATAGAAATGTAAAACATTATGATGCTTTACAGCAACTCCTTATACTTTAAAATTGCACTAGAAAATATAATATACATTACAATAAAATACATAGTTATTTGTTTGACTATACTTTGCCTCTTATAACTTTTGAAATCTTCTTTAATCTAAATGCAATATTTGATAAATTTGTTCAAAGTTTAATAATCTTTAATACTGTTTAATAATATAATGCCCAAAAACAACTCGGTATACTTTAAAACAGTATTTGAAACTAAACATTTTTGTGATAGTGTTCTAATGTGCATCTCTTTATTAGATCTTTTGTAACTTTTAAATGATTTGTCTGATGTTAACAAAATATTCGGCAAATTTATTCAAAATTTAATAATCTTTAATACTGTTTAACATTATGATGCTTTACAGTAACTTCTTATACTTTATAATCGCAATAGAAAATATATTATACATCACAGCTTAATAAGGTCATACTTTGTCTCTTGTAACTTTTGAAACGTTTCTTTAATCTAAATGAAATATTTGGCAATATTGTTCAAAATTTAATAATCTTTAATACTGTCTAATATTATAATATTCTGGAACAACTCGGTATTCTTAAAAACAGCATTTAAAAATAGACAATTTATGCAAAAGTCTTTAAATGTCTATTTAATTATTGTATTCGTTGTAACTTTTAAATGTTAAGTCTCATACAAATGCAGTATTAGAACAATTTGTACAAAATTATTTTGTTTATAATATTGTCTACGTACTTGAAGCAACTTGGTATACTTTAAAATCCAGAAAATAAACTAAGATTTATGTATTTATTTGTTATATCTTTTGTAACTTGTATAAAATGATTAGTATGTTTGGCAAATTTGTTCAAAATTGAATAAACTGTAAAAGTTTCTAACATTACAAAGCCCTACAGCAACTCGGTATAATTATAATTAAATTAATGGGGCAATTCTACAATTCAAATTTCTATATTTGATTATCATTGATAATTATTCCTGAAAATCCAAGCAGCAAAACAATCGCTTATCATTTATTAATTATTTATTTAATTATTTTTATCATATGATCATAATAGTAATTTTTATATTTCTATACATTTTGTACAGTAATCTATTAAATCACAGAACAATTTACATTAAATGGTCTTCCATGTTAAAATAATAATAATAATGATAGACGCATACATGTCATTTCAATAATGTGTTCTTCACGCACATAAGAAAAGTTTATGTGCACATAATACAGAATTATACAGCACAGCCAGCCAAGTCGGGACCATTTGTTCTGTAAAAATATAAATATCGACACACTTTTGGGGGAAGGGATTCACAAATCGAACATTATTATGTACACAGTAACAATAGAAAAGAAATTGGTAAAAGGATAATGGACAGTAATACCCTATATAATATATATATATATATATATATATATATATATATATATATATATCCTGGGGTATTACTGCAGTTGGTAAATTACAACTTAATATTTACAATGAGGAAGAGTATTGGCAGTTTACAATTTCAAATACAAAACAATTGTTACAAATGCGCCAACTTTTTAAAATTATTATTAAAACTAATTGAAAATAAGCAAACACAATTTTCCACACACATCCATATCATCATTTATCCACTTAAGATAATAAAATCTCTAATATTTATACAAAATTATAAAAATATAAATTCTAAAATAAAAATAACAAATATAATATATTTATAATAAAGGTCACTCGAATTCTGCCATAACGAATAACTATTTTCAGTTCACACAGCTTTATCGATGATTGATATAATCGATAATGTATTTTATTCTTTCTCACACGAACAATTTTTGATGAAGTTCTTAGAAACTAGCAGGACAATTGTCGCTCACCATTGGGTTGCGGGCTTTTGTCTGAATTCTGGAAAAAAGAAAAAAAAAATTAGATTTTGTAGAAGAAATACAATGGAAATTAATGCATAATGAAATAAATAAAGAAATCATGAATTTAATGGAAGTCATAATTTTATTTATACATATATATATAATATATAAGTATATATATATATATATATTCTACAAATCTGTTCATAACGTTTTATATCTCTTCAAGCAAAATTAAATAAGAAAATACTAGTAAATTTATAATTTAGTTAGCCATTGGTGAATTTCATTGGTTACTGATATATCGTTAAAAAGTTTATAAAATTATCTATAAACCTATATATTACGTTTCATAACTTTTCAAACAAAATTAATTAAGAAAAATATAGTAAGTTCAAAATTTCGTCACCCATTGATGGATTTCATTGGTTACATTTTTTTTACATTTGGCATGATTCTGATAAAATTCATTTTTATACTAATGTATTATGATATATCGTTAAAAACTTAATAAAATTATCTATAAATCTGTATTTAACAACTTGTATATGTTGGAACAAAATTTTGAAAAAATAATTCATTAATCTTTGAAATCAAAATCTTCATAAGGCACCCCTCATCGTGTTGGCTTATAATTTTATTTATTTTGTTATAATTTAATTAAATATTATTATTATTATATATCATTAGAAAGGTAATTAAATTACCTATAATTACGTATATATATACATTTTTTTGTTACTTTGAACAAAAATGTTCAGTTATTGTGTGTATTTATATAAATTTTGTATTCATCGTGGCGTATGGGTCAAAATTCAAGGGAACTCCGAAGAGAGAAGAGAGAGACGTCCTCTGACGAAATGAACACGTGTTCATACGAATATTATATTATTATTATTTGGCCTTTGCTTTTGCTTTGTCGTCGATTTGGATGAAATCGGACGAGATCGGATGAAGCAACCGAATGGAATGGAATTTTGGGAACGCACAATCGGAACTTCTCGGAAAATATTTCAGGCTTATCTTTAGAAAGAAACAGGATCCAATGGATCAGAATAATAAAACTACTGTTCAGGTTCAGAAAGCCAACCATAATTATTTTATATTTATTTATATTTTATAATTATTTAAACTGCTAACCATAATTATTTTATTACAAAATGGTGGTATTATGAATTAATTTTTATAACAAAATGGCGGTGTTATGTATTAATTTTTATAACAAAATGGCGGCGGTAGTATGAATTAATTTTTATAACAAACGGCGGTATTATGAATTACAACGTGTCTTGTAGAAAATCTGTAACGCAAAAGATTCTGTAAAAAGATTATATATTCATCGTTGCATGTCATTCTGAATCGTTTGACATCAAATACATTAATATTAATCACAAGGCTTCAATTTCTTCTGGATCGTTTGAGAACAAAATTGAAACAAATGTGTGAGGTAAAATTTGTCCTCGATGTAACTCGGTAAGGACTAGTCAGTTTTGTACCACGATCAGCCAAGCAGTTTCTTTAAAATCAAATTAAAAACAAAAAAGTGCTGAATTGCTCGTCCACGTTTTCACAACAACAAAATTCGGTCCCGATTTTGAAAACTTAAGATATCAGTTGGAAATCGAACGGTGGTAACTAATTGGTTATTTTTTTAGTCTCAACAAACATTCGTAAAAAGTTTGATATAATGGGGCGTGATGGCATAATTAAATTCTATATTAAAAAATTGAAAAGTTGATAATTTGTTACTAGGGCTATTTACATCTAGTTGGTAAAGTAAGGGATTATTATCATTTATAATGGTGAAGCAAATATTATATTTTTCTATTTCGTTGTTAATATAATTTAGAAATCTGTACAATGGCCATCGTGGGCAACAACGAGCACACCTGTGCACACAACAGCACAATAATAAAAAGCCAAGCAATCCGAAGCAAGAAGAAGTCTCAGGAATGTGAGGTTGCGAGTTAAAGTTAATCCCTCCGAGAAGAAGAGAGGATATGGTCGTTGGTCGTTATGTTCTTATTTTTATGGCGGCGTCTCTTGAGCCCCGTTTTATATTTTATTCATAAGCAAGTTCACAAGTACAATACGAATAGCTGTGTTGCGTTTGCGTATAATACCGGGTCATCGTATATTGCGGAGCTCTGAAATGCACGTGCACGCCAGTTAAAGCCAAGTCTCCTCGACGACCACGACGACGACTCTCTCTCGATACACGAAACATGAAACACGGAAACAGGGACGAACTCCCAAATATAATATAAATAGTACATTTTATTTATACCTTTAATATCCACCCATTATTATCATCCACTTTATCTTACCACTTATTTCGATATAACCTATAACTTTTAACATTTTTGTTGCCGGTTGCATAAACGTTTATGGCACGAAATTTAAATATAATTTATATTCAAATTCAAATTAGGATTCAAAGATAGAACAAAACTTTCATAATTACGCGATAATCAATAGTATTATGAATATAAATAAATTAATTCATAATACCGCCATTATGTTATAAACATATTTGACAGACAGGCATACAACGTTCTGTAAATTTAATATTTAAAAAAATATTTGAATGTTATTTTAATATAATTAATATAATTAAATGCAGTTTGTAATTGTTAATAAATTTCATTTATAATTACCAATAGTACTTTAATTAAATAATATTTTCATTTTGTTATTAAAATTATTTATAAACATCTACTGCAGGCAGACAACATAACGATCCGTTAATTTGAAGAATTAAAAAATAATTAGAGTTATATTAATTTGATCTTTATAAATCTTTATTAAAATGCTTGATGTCTCTAAACACTGTTTGAATAAAATTCATTTATTTATTCTTATCAAATGCGCGTAAAATTATAAACAATAATTTTCAATTAACGGAATTTTAATGACAACGACAATCCATTACAGTATAGAAATAAATTAACTTATCAATTACAAAAATCAGTAAACCATTTGTAAATACTATTTAACATAAGCTAGACCAGTTTAATTTATGAATTTCAACATTTTAACTATTAGATAAATTATATTTTAATTCCCAACGGCTTTATTAACGGTGTGCGTTAACGATATAAAATATAAAGTAAACTATAAACAAGAAAAAAGGAGTAAATTAAATGTGATTTTACATTTATAATAATAATAATTATTATTATTATCATTATTATAATTTTACTATTAACGCCTGAATTGTCATATTAGGCATTCGTTAAAACCCATAGGTACATTTAAAAATTGACGTAAATTGATGCATTTATTTTTATAATTTATATAAATTCCAACAAAACAATTAAAATTATATAAATACTTGCTCGATTTATGATAAAAGTAGTATTTTTTTAATTAATTTGATTTTGTCGCCGTTAAATATTTATAACGGCGCCGCCCGTGCCGTTAAGCTTGCAGATAATATTTATTTGTTATTATTTGTTTAAATAAAATTAGAAACGTAAAGTTAATGAATATAAGATAGTAATCATAATTATTTTGAATAAATATATTTTAAATTAAATTTGTGTGACAATTTGAAAATTTTTAATTTTATGTTGTTTGCACAACTGTAAAAAAGTCAATATGTCTGCCGCAATGTTTTGCAATGGACGCGTCTTGTGTGTAAAGTGCAATAAATATCATATTTTAATATTAAATTCTTATAAAATACATCATATTCTAATATTGTCTAGAATGAATAACGTGTTTTGTGATTAATTACAACAGTTTCTGCAATAAAAAGGTAAGATTTTCAAAATTCATTACACATTGCTGTCAAATGTCATTTACAACCATGTCCAAAATTGAATTTCAAGTCTAGTTTAATATCAGTACTTTATCATTGCATGCCTCTGTCCAACGATAACATTCTGTAGAGGTCATAATTCATTAAGAATTCAATGTATTACATAAAATAACAAATTCAACCTTGGACGCATGGTAATAAATAAATAATCTTAACGCACAGGCGATAAATAGGGAAAAAATATTTGTTTGGGCATTGTAAATTATTTCCTTATGGTTGTAAGTTTATCGATTGCAAATGGCAAATTGTCGTTAAATAGAGAAAGTACGATGGAGCACTCGCAAATAGAAAGTTAAGTATTTGGAAACATCATTACATTACGGAATCGAATATAAATTTTAGACGAATTGCATACAAGTTGCAAAACACCTTGCAAAGGCGACGTCCATTAATCACGTGAGGTCTTTTTGACAGAAAAAAATCAGGAAATATCACAAGACAAAGGGAGAGATTAGTAAAATATCGCGTGTATTTATTTTTTACTTAAATTTAATGAAAAATCCAAAAAAAATCGAGAATTTCAAAAATGTTACGATTTTTTCTAGGCACTGTTTTTTAAAAATTGATCACGTGATTAATGAACGGATTCTTACAAATGATATACAATTGTACTCCGACATACGAGTTTAATTCGTTCGTATGTCGAATTGCTCGCATCTCGGAGCAATCCTTCTTTCAGCACTGTGTTTTTTTGGATAATAAAAATCAACTTACTATTTATTAGTTTATTTATTGTTTTTTTACCTAACCATTCGTGGTATTGTAAGAATGACTTGGACATGGTTCGTTGGACAAAAAAATTTAGGTGATTTTTATCCACAAACTTTCATATCTGAGGAAGCTGTTTATAAATTATTGTAAGGCCCTTAGCTGGAATTATACTCTGAATCATATATATTTATTTAATACATATCTGTCAAAATTTTTTATAAATTTCACACTTTTAAAGGGACCTTTTCTTTGGGTCCATTATTCGATAAGTCTATTAATCACGTGATCGATTTTTTTAAGGATTTTTTGACTCCCTTTGGCCATATTCAAAATTACCCCCCATCCCCCACCAAACATTACGTGTATTTTTAGTTATGTGAAAAAATGTATTTTTTTTTGAAAATGTTTTAATTTTTTTAAAAAAAATCAGGTAAAAGGAGGGGGGTGACAAAAAATTACAAAATATCAGGCTCCCCACGTGATATTTTATAATTTTTTGTCAC